TAAAATCAAATTAAACTTAAAAAGTTTTTATTATTTACATAAATAAAGACATATAGGTAGAAATTAAATTTTTCAAAAAAAAAACATTTTAGATTTTCAGTTTTAGTTTAGTAAACAATTATTATTATGTAAATTTTTATTTTTCTTTCTTTGAATAAAATAATATATAAGCGGGAAAATAAATTTTAGGCAAGAATACTAGGACGACTTACATGTAAGTCGTCGTCCAGATGACTTCCTGGAAGACTTCCTGGAACTCTTCTAATTATATTTTAGACGACTAACATGTAAGTCGTCCCAGAAGCTTCCAGATCTGAAAAATCTGCATATCCAAATCCAGATCTGAAAAATCTACATATCCAAAAACTTTCAAATGGTTTAAAAACAGAGAAAATAAATGAAATATTAGATAAATTTACCTTTATAGAACACACAAATATACATATCTAAAATTAATAGATTTACCTTTAAATGAGTGGAAGAATGAGAACCATGTGATGAAAAACCTACACAAACAAGATAAATTAGTGAGAAAGACATGAGAAAAAAAAAAATTGATATAAAGTTTGGTGTTTATAAGTTCAAAGAGATTAGAGAGAGGTTGGAGAGTTTTAGAATGATGAACGTTACATTTTTGTTGCAGCCATTTGAGAGGAGGAGGGAAAATGTGTAAATTTTTCTTTATATAAGGAGACAAAAAAAATTCAATTAAGTTAAATATTTTCGATTCAGACGACTTATTTGTAAGCCGTCCAGAAGATAGTCGACTTACCAGAAGACTTAATATTTTTAACTAAAATATTTAAGCGGGAAAATAATTTTTAGGCCGGAATATTAGGACGACTTACATGTTGGTTTAAATTATTCACGAGACGATTTACAAGTTAATCGTCTAGACCCTAAACATAACCACTAAACTTAATTAACTAACTAAACACTTCATAAAATCAAATTAAACTTAAAAAGTGTTTACCATACACAAAAATAAAAATTATAGGTGAAAATTTACTTTAAAAAAAACATTCAAGCTTTCCAAAATCTAACCCTAAGAATACATACAACTACAACATATGTTGTCAAACCCTAAAACCAAAGAATATCATGATTAACTACTTTCACTCATCTATGTTGAAAACTATTCAAGTATTTTATAGCTTAACTACATCAGACGACTTACAGGGGCTATATTCGTAAAAATGTTTGGTCACAAGGGGCTGACTGTAATTTCACAAGAATTTTAGGTTAGTTTTGCATTTGGTTCAATTTTGGGTATAGATTTGCAATCAAAATCATGTTTTGAGTAATATTTGGCAAATTCTCCGTGTTATAAATCTTAGAAATTTGTATACTTTTCTTCCACTCAGAATGCATGCAAAAAAGAATCCTAGTCTTGATGATGCTTTTCATTGGTCTTCGAATATGCTTAAAGTCATCTATGGCCTCATTTTGTCTTGCGCATGTTTGCACGAGCAAACACTATCTATTCTAGTGCTCATGAGAGTCCGACACAGTGGTTTCTGTATGTAGGGATGGATCTGAGATTTTTGGGGACCATACACAATTTAGTAAGGATATTAATTAAAAAAGCATATTTAATTGTCCATTTCTGTATGTAAGAGCAGCATTATTGGGCTTTCTAATCATGGGTTTTTAACAAATTACATGAATTAATTAAATCAAAACTAAAAGAAAAAGCTAAAACCTATCCTTAAGCCAAAAAGGGACACGTGTCAGGGTGTGGGCAAATCTCCCTTCTTTTTTTTGTTATTTTTGTCTTTGTCGAGCTCTTCGTCTTCTCTCTTCTGTGGCGACGATGGCGTTTGTGGAGGATCGCAATTGTCTCCGTCTGGACAATTGTTTGTCCAACTGGTTTCCTTCTGTGGAGGATTTGAGCCAGATTTGTCGATACTTGGAAGATCAGAATCATCCACTATCTCTTCTTTAGCATTTGTCTTCTTCCTCCTTAGGCTAGCTAAGAACTCTCTTCCTTGGTTTCATTGACTGAGTTTTTCTGGTGACCCATGAATCGATCCAGCCTTATTTTTTTTGTTTCTAGCTGTCGTTGTAGATCTTCAACCTATTAAGAAGTTTCTAATCGCAATAATTTTTCAAACGAATCTCAACTCCTTTGTTTCCGAACTTGTCTTATTTATTACAGAGTTGGTGTTATATGTCTGAGCGTATATGCTTTTATTTCTCTCTTTTATGTGTCTTACTTGAGCTTATTTGGATGCATATTGGTTTGTTTGTGAATCTTCAACCCTATTATGAAGTTTACTCAAATTGGATCCTTTATTATTCGCAGCTTGTTGCAGCTCCAGTGTCGCTCCTCAACCATTCGACTTGAGATTACAATGTTTCGGCTTTTTCTCCTCTTCGTCAATGTATTTCTGAGGATGCTGAGGCCATGAAAGTAGAGTTTTGGATTCAAGAAAGTCTCAGAGTATTGCTTTTCTACTATCAACAACTTGATCTCACCACAAGTGATGTTTGCAAGTCCCTTCGAGATGGTATCTTATTTATTTGTATTGAGTTGAATCTGAGGTTGGTATTTCTTATGAATGAGGTCACTATAAAGTGATGATGATGACTCAGTGATCAAACTTGCTCCATCAGAGAGGTTTCTCAAACGTGTTAATGCATTGCTCTTTGTTGCTACTTTTGATTCCAAGATTGAACACTTGAAACAATCATTTGGCGTTATACATTTATTTTATAACAAAGGTGAATTTGCTGTAAGCTTATGTCTTACAAACATATTTGATTCTTTTGCAGTCTATTTTAGAGACAGGAATGAAGAGCGTGAATGCTCAAGACTTCAAACTGGTCTCATTGCAAAATAGAAATGAAGGTTTTTCAAAGAAGAAGACACTTTCATTGCAAAATAGGTTTTTCATATATTTTTGATCTCCTAGATGTTTTTGTAAGAACCTTGCAATTGAGCAATTAAATGTTGGGGTTTCTTAACTTTGTTTCTAAGTCATTTTTGTACTTCAAACCATTGAAAATTAATAAGAACCCCTAATATGGCCTCTTTGAGTGGCCTTCAGGGGATGATGGGATTTTGGTGGCATTTTATCCCAGCATTATGGAGTTGGTTTTCTTTGGCTACCAGTGGTGGGTTTGGCTATAATCCATTTTGCAGGTTCCGGTACTTGATACAATGATATTCTATGTGTGGCAACCATCTTTGTCTGCTAAGTTGGTTTTGGTTTGAGTGTGCGGCTTTTTATTCCCTTGGTGTGGTGAAATACTTTTGGGAAATTTGTCCCTCTAACCAATAAACGATCCAAATTCACTATCTAACAAAAATACATTATTTCTCCTCTTTTTCTTATTTCTCTCTATTTACAAAACAAGTTTCTCTTTTTTTGGTTATCTCACAATTAAGCCCTTATTTTTTGCTATGTGATGTTTGTGTTATTCTTTTTTTTTTTGTGCACAGATGTTTGTGTTATTCAGTTTCAACGAATTAGTAAATTTTATGATTTGGTTTAATACTTTAATTTTGACCTTTCATTTGATTTTCTATAAAAAAAGTTTCAATTAAGATTTATTAAATCAATTCAAGAAAAATAATTGTAAAATAAGAACTAAGAATATCTGAATTGTGGTGTGATTACTAATCAGATTTTTGGATTATTAACTTCAAGGAAAAGTTGGAAAATAATTTTGGATTCTTCATGTTTTAATTATGGTTTGATTCTTTTCTTGAGTCTTGGTGAACTTCAAATTAAAATATGATTATAGTTTGTAGTTCTGTACTAACCTTATAAAGGAAAAAAAAGGTTAATACATATATGTATATCTATTATTTGAGCACTTAAATAATGAAAAATAAACAATAACTGGAGATTATCTCTTATTGAAATTATAGAAACATAATCTAAAATTAATTTCACCTATAGTGTAACTTACAATTTTATGCCACTCAAATTTAACTACTCGTAAATCTTATACGACGTAAATTTTTTTTTTTAAATAACTGATTAACTTCTTAATTTTTATTAAAATTATACACAAATATATTTTCTTATTAAAATAAGTTCTTTAATGTTATTACCTTTAATAACAATATTAGAGTAAAATAGAGTATATTTAACATGAGCTAATGATTATTTTAAACTATACACAAATATTAACCAGTTTTAGTTTTTAAATGAAAAAATAACATTTGATCTTATTTTATTTTTAAAACCCAACAATCTTAACGCAAACCACAAAATTTATTATTAAAATACTAAATTAAAAGGTTTAAAAAATATAACCAAAAACTAAAATTTGTATGTTTAATGTTTCATTAAACTAAATTCTATACAATAATATTCTTTCAGTTTCACACTAAAAGGTATCTTTAAATTTAACAAATTAAATTTCAGTACTGTAGTTTTAAAATGATTTCTTATCAACAAATGAAGTAAGCATGATATACTGACATATAGGAAAATTGGTATTAGTTCTCGATAATATGAATATGAAGAATCAAAATCACCATAGAGTAATAATGGTGGAAATAAATTGAATTTCCTTTTTATTATTTAGGGGTTTAATATTTTATAAAATAAATCTTTATTAATACAAACTCGTAATAAATACTAAAATAGCTTACTTATATAAATGTCAATAAAAAAATTATCAACTTTTTCTTAACAATTTTAAGAAATATTACATACGACTCTACGACTGGTAATTTTATATGTCTTATGAGACGAATGATAAAACTCACTCCATACACGATGCTTAAAAAAAATTTGTGAACCTTTTTTTATTAATTTGCATAATCATTTTTAAGACTAAATCAAATTTTCTTGGTGTAGAAGAATAAATGAACATTAATCAAACCATGGGAGTAAGGCACTTTTTACTAATAAAATTAACTAGGAAAATGATCATGTATATTGGATATTTTAATGGATGATTGTGGTCCGGACCTGATTCTCAATCTCTCCTTTATATTTGTATCACTGGAACAATTCATCTCTTGTAACACAAGAAAGGTGATGACTCTTTACGTGGATGTCAGTCAAAGCAAAATGTTCCTCGCTTGTGAGAATATACATATATATCCCTTATATATTAAAAGAGAAGCATTTTGCATTAAATGCTTTCACACCACCTTCTCACAAGTTATTACCTTATTATCTTATTTACAACTTTCTCACAATATATTACCTTATTTAAAACAAACGAGACACGAGACTGCAATAACAAAGACGAGACTGCAATAACAAAGACGCAAGTGGATTCTTGTGGCAAAGTTTCGATTACCCAACAGATACTTTGCTTCCAGATATAAAACTGGGTTACAACCTCAAAACAGGGATTAACAGGTTCCTTACATCATGGAAAAGTTCAGATGATCCGTCAAGTGGGGATTACTCGTACAAGCTCGAACACCGAAGGCTTCCTGAGTTTTATCTATTACAGGGCGACGTTCGAGAGCATCGGAGCAGTCCATGGAATGGAATCCAATTTAATGGGATACCAGAGGACCAAAGGTTGAGTTACATGGTTTACAATTTCATAGAGAATATTGAAGAGGTCGCTTATACATTTCAAATGACCAACAACAGCTTCTACTCGAGATTGAGAAGAAGCTCCACAGGGTATTTTCAACGACTGACGTGGGCTCCGTCATCAGTGGTATGGAAAGTGGTCTAGGCTTCTCCAGAGAACCCTTATTGCGATATGTACAGGATGTGTGGACCTTACTCTTACTGTGACGTGAACACATCACCGTCGTGAAACTGTATACAAGGGTTCGAACCGGGGAATGTGCAGCAGTGGGCGTTGAGAATCGCATTAAGTGGGTGTAAAAGGAGGACGCAGCTGAGCTGCAGAGGAGATGGTTTTACAAGGGTGAAGAATATGAAGTTCCAGAAACTGCTTTGGCTATCGTCGACAGGAATATTGATGTGAAAGTATGTAAAAATAGGTGCCTTAATTGCATGTACATTTAATATATAAGGGATCTGGTTATTTTACCGGAGCCCATGAACGCGATCTTGGTTTGGACATGGCTCGTGTGTAGCGTGAAGAGATTGAACTCATTAAAATTACAAAGTTTAATATCGCGTAAGAGAAGTTCGGAGGCAAGTGAATTAGCTTGAGGGTCGATGTCAAAGTTCTGGAACGTCGTTATTTGGGAGATGGGATGTATCTAAGATGATGGTTGTGAAGGGCAACGTACCCGAGCCCATGAACGCGATCTTGGTTTCGACATGGATGATTTTTCGAACGGGAGAGACCCCAAGGCGGTATAGTAGTGATGCTCGAGATGGGTTTTTATCTAATCTACGTGGGTTGGTGAGATTCGTTCTGTAGTTTTGGACTTTTGGGCACAAGTTTTTAACGTCGATATTTGTATCCATAGGCAAGGACGTGGAAGTTGTTAAAAAAAAAAAAAACAAGGACGTGGACATCTGCTTTGAACAAATTGTCGACATATATATGTGAAAGTTTTACGGCTCTTGAGATAGGACATTTCGTTATACAAGTTGATACTCTGATACTCTGCATGTTGAACACAGCCGTAAAATAAAGAAGAATTAACCAAAAAACGTTATTAGTATAGACTACTACTTAGTTGCATATTCACGTCCATGATTGTACATGTTCCCTAACGATATTCATATTTACGAGAAAGCATGGTGACTAACGATCTTCGTCTTCACAAAGAAACCTATTTCACTTATCGGTAGGGAAATATATAAAATGCAATTTTATTGTACGTAGCATGAACTTCCAAATATGTAAGGGATGAGTTTGTTTAAACCGAGAACTCATTTTTTTTAATTTGGTTAAACAATTTGGTTTGGACCACTTCGATTTCGAACCGACTACAAGGATAGAACCGTCGGTTTCGACTAATCTTAATGAGTTGAAACGGTTAATGTTTTCCTGGCCGGTTCGCAGTATATGGGTGTTTGGCAAGGGTTATTAATGATGATAGGTTATTTTCATTTATTTAAAAAGTTCGGTTTATGGCAATATTGACATTCTTGTGGTCGAAGTAAATTACTCACCAAGGCGAGGATCTTTACATTTAATTATCTTGTGCTCCAAGTCCATTAGGTTTATTATCCCCTATATAATAAACGTGGTTCTCATCATTAGGACTCATAACCTAAACGAAAATACAGTTATTCTTCACTCATCTTTCTCTAATGGCTGCGTTTACTGCTGTGTCAGATTTGAAACCGTTCAAGTCTATGTGGAAGATTAGGGTAAAGATCATTCGTTTGTGGAAGCAGTATTCTGCAGCTGGTGGAGAAACAATTGAGATGTTTCTAATCGATGAGAACGTAAGCATCATTTACTATTCATGTTAGTAATATTTAGTATGTTTGATGAACCTATATAATTTTTGACTATATTTGTTGCTTTTTGTAGGGTGTTAAAATTAATGCTACTGTCAAAAAAGATCTGGTTAATCAGTTCGATTCATTCCTTTCACAAGGAAGTTCAAAACATTTTTGTGGAGCATTGGTCCATGTAGGAGATCTTATAGTTAATAAGACATATCAACCGGCCAAAGGTTACAGTACTATTCTGTATTCGTTGGAGTTCTCCTTAATCGATCTCGGGTTTGAACTTTTCATATATTTACAATTGTTTATTCTTAGTACGACAATGTTTGTACAATTTATATTGACTGATATATAATACAAATGTAACAGGTACACTCAAGTGAGGTGTGTTGCTCATGGTGCTCTAGCCCGTATTTTAAATGATTTCTGGCATTCTAATACTGCAGATGTTGTAGTATGTGTTTTGAGGTTATGGCGAATTGATTGGGGAGCAGGTAATCTATATTTAATTTGACTCTTTGCTATTCAGAAATGTCTGGTTTCTATACTTATTGTTGATATTACTTTATAGGTGGTCTCACTTATGTTACAAACATGGAAGGTGTTTCTGAAATTCTGTTTGATACTGACATCCCAGAGATTCAGTTCTTCAAATCGCAGTAAGCACATTATACTTAGTTGGTTTTATAAAGCTGTGTAGTATATACACTAAAAACTATTTTATTCCTTATATATTGAAATTCATGTCTTTGCAAGATTCCAATCATCGATTTCTGAAGTTTTGAAGTTGTTCTATCTAATTATTGATTGAAGTTGTTTTTATATAATACCTATTTATATTTAGATCATTATTTGTTTTTGGAAGAATGAGATTATGCATCTTTATTATAATGGAATTGAGTTTATTTTATTTATATTAGATTTCTCAACTTCCTTAACATAGAGACTTACCATAGTGAGGGCCTCTCCAAGACAAATAATGTGATTAAATTTAGTCTTTGTGTTATCACCATAAAATCAAAACGCAATTTAACCAAAAAGACAATATTTATAATATAGATATATAATTACACGATATTAAAACCCGAAACAACCAATCCAAAACAAACCAATATGCAAATAAAACAGATATAATGTCTTCTTATCTTTAAAAATACAACAATTTTAATCATCTCATCCCGCGCAAGGCGCGGGTCTAATCCTAGTATATATATATATATTATATGTTACAGTATATTTTTGAGGTATAAATATCACTGGCTAATCAATGAGCTATACAAATCGTCTCTCGATGGACTACAGGAGGTTGGTGTCCAAGCTAATGCCAAGTTGGAAGCGTGAGGCAGAAGTAAAAAAGCTCGGTAAGAGATATATAGGTCTATTTCATATGTTGGTTCTGTTTCTGGTAATTTTGATTGACTTCAAGTAAGAATAAAATAGCATGATATGCATGATTTCTCATTTCTGAATTTCGTTTCTACGAATATTCTATATAACTCAACACTAATTAATATGAAAAAAAAAATGTGAGAAGGGTACAAGATTTATGGCCATCCTTTCTCCACCAACACAAGGCGTATTCTAGCTATCCTCCTTGAGAAAGGGCTCTCATACGAGCCCATTACTGTTGATTTGAAATCTGGTGAACACAAAAGGGAAGCTTTCCTCTCTCTCAACGTAAGTAATCTTATCGCCAAAAACTGAAAATTATTAGTAGCTTCAGAGTGGGATTTACACACAGCTAAGTCAAATTCTCGTCTGTGTTAACTTGATGTACTACACTCTCATGTTCAAAATTTAATCTAGTTATTACTCGTCCACCTGTTTGATAAGTTTTACATTTATTAAAAAGTTTGATATAGTTCTGAATCTTGGATACTCACCTAGTGATTGGTTACTGGTAATACAAGGATTCAAAGTTTTAACAAGTTGTTATATGCAGCCATTTGGTCAAGTCCCAGTTTTTGAAGATGAAAACGTTAAGCTGTTTGGTAAGTAAATCTAAATTACGCACTAAACTAAGCACACCCTGATAGTATTTAGTCACATTTTTCAGGCTAAATTAACTTTCAAATTGTCCTTATAGAGTCTCGAGCCATCACACAATACATCGCATATCTTCATAGCGCAAGAGGCACGCAGCTTCTGAGTTTAGAAAGCGAGGAGACACTGGCAACACTAACAATGTGGATGGAAATCGAAGCTCACCAGTTCGATCCATTTGCATCAAGACTCACTTGGGAGCAAGTCATCAAACCTATCTACGGTCTAGAGACTGACCACGCGGTAGTCAAAGAAAGCGAGGTTGGTCTAGAGAAGGTTTTAAATGTCTATGAAAAACGACTCGGAGAATCTAGATTCTTGGCTTGTAATACCTTTACTTTGGTTGATCTTCACCACTTACCCAATCTACAATACCTTTTGGAAACTCCAACGAAAAGATTGTTGGAAAATCGACCTAGGGTACGTATGTGGGTGGATGAGATTACTGGTAGAGAGGCTTGGAAGATGGCTTGTGATCAAGAAAAGTCCTGGTTTGGTAAGCAAAGGAAAGATGATATGACTGGAAAGGCTTTCAAGATGCCTTGTGAACAAGCAAAGTCCTGGTTTGGTAAGCAACGGAAATAAATGAAAGCAAAAGAAAACTGTGTGTGGGAATTTGTTTGTGTTTGTAAGCGTGTGCTGTTGCTAAAGTAAGCTTCTGTTGTTTGTTGACTGCTGTGGAATTCATCTTATAAGATTCGTCGTGTACTGGCTTCTGAATGTCTGATGTATATGAATAAAGGAAATTAAAAATTTGTTATGAATACTATATAATGTCCATTATGGGAAGTTATAATTGACTTGTTTTAAAAGTTTACTTGTATTTAAAATTATATTTTACATAACACTATATATTAATTGAGAAACCTTTGAAAATATTTAACTTTAAATTTGTATTAATTAAAAAAATAACTTTATCTTAGCTCTCTATGCTTTCTAATTCAATTTACAAGAATTCTAGAACACCTTATATAAACTATAGTCTAAAAATTATACTCTCAAAATTATACTCTCTAACAATATAATATTTTGCAGACTATAGTTGGTCATATATATCAAATATTTATTGTTCTGCATGTTTTCTTTAAATAAAACCTACAAAATTACTTAATGAAAATTAATGATTTTAAACAATAAAGATTTGATAAAATCAGTATACTTTTTATCATTTTTTTATTTCTTTATTCTTAAAATAAATTATACAATTACATTAATCATTAATAAAAATTTACATTTTTTTTGTGTGTTGTATTTCAATTTTTTCAAAACGAGTATCCCCTATACATTAAAAGAGAAGTCACTTTGACACGTGGCACTCACACGGCCCTTCTCAGAAGAATTCTAGCGATTCTATTGGTTGATTTTTTAAAATTTATTTTTTTGATTTATTTTTACCATCGACACTAATAAAAATGAAAGTCATTTAAATACTTACCTTTTGTGTTTTCTCGATTCAAAGAACATCCTTTTGCGATCCTTTCTCTGTTTAATTCATTAAATACTCATTAAATATTTTAGATGTCAGAGAAACAAAATTAATTGACAAGATATTTTCACTTTTAAAATCATGCATTTAAAACAAAATTAATTGATAAGATATTTTCTCTCTAAAACCAATAGTTTCTCACGAGATGTTCTCCTTTACCTTTATCAACAAGATATTCCAAAAATAATATTACCTTAAAAGTATAAGATTTATTGATAATTTATTAGAGAATATGTTACTTCTTAGCTTATCATGCAAGCTAAATCATTGAGAAACGTCCATCAATTTACTATAAATAAGACATTCACAGTAGAAGAAATGAAATCATTGAACTTTGTATTCTGAACTTTTTATGTTAATAATGTTCTGAATTTGTTTTTCTTCTTATTTTAGAACATTAAGCTTTTATATTTCATAAGAGCTGATTTTTCTTTTGGTTTATATGCAGATATCCTATTATGACGATTTCTCCACTGAAGCTATATATGATTTGATTGTACACCTCTTTGATATATTATTTCGATAACATCTTTGTTCATCCATCTGGTAAAAAAATTCTCTATTTAATAACATCTCTCAGCTATATCATCTCGTGAATAGATTGAGAGCTGATTTTTCTTTTGGTTTATATGCAGATATCCTATTATGACGATTTCTCCACTGAAGCTATATATGATTTGATTGTACACCTCTTTGATATATCATTTCGATAACATCTTTGTTCCTCAATCTGGTAAAAAAAATTCTCTATTTGATAACATCTCTTAGCTATATCATCTTGTGAATAGATTGAAAGCTGATTTTTCTTTTGGTTTATATGCAGTTATCCTATTATGATGATTTCTCCACTGAAGCTATATATGATTTGATTATACACCTCTTTGATATATCATTTCGAAAACATCTTTGTTCCTCAATCTGGTAAAAAAAATTCTATATTTGATAACATCTCTAAGCTATATCATTTCAATAGCATCTTTTTGTGCTGCCAATATTTTTTTTTTTTGATTAGTAGATTTATATTATCAATTAGAATTATAAGCTTATATATACATATATATATTTCTTTGGTTTGCTGATTGTGATTTTGTTTTATGATATTTTTAATTAAAATTGATATATTTTTTTTGGTTTGTAGTTATATGATCTTTTTAATTAAAATTAAATATATATAGTAATATTTATTAATGAAAAAGTTATATCAACTACTTTTTATATTTATTCTTTCCTTATTATATATCATTTAATATTTAAATATCTATAGTTTAAATGTAATTTACTTTAATGTTTTTAGTTTATTAATAACCTACCTTATTTTGAACACATATTACTTGTGCAACTTCAAATTATATTTATTGCATTGTTTTAATGCAATTTACCTTAATGTTTCTAACTTGTTAATTCGTCTTTATAAACTTATTTTGAACACATATTACTTGTGCAACTTCAAATCATATTTATTACATTGTTTTAATGCAATTTACCTTAATGTTTCTAATTTGTTAATTCGTTTTTAAAAACTTACCTTATTTTGAATATGATTTAATTGCACAAGTTTATAACATATTAATTGTAAATCATTTAATGACAATA